CATTATAATTTTGCTTTTTACATTGAAGTCTTTAATTCAGATGGAATTGAGTTTGGCATGTGGTGTAAAATGCAGTCTAACTCCTCCTTTCCCCCTGCTAGTTTGAAATACTAACTTGAATAAGTACTAAATTTTGGAATACTCTTGATACTTGACAGTTTTTAACTTTGTGTAGTTTGTTACTTGCCAATCCATTTTTCTTTCTTTGTATTAAGTTTTTAATTACAGCTGTATAATGTGTGTCGATACCTAATGGGTCATTATTTCTTCACAAAAATTATTTCATATTTTTAGTTGAGTGTGGTAGCATATATTTATAATATCAACACTCAGGAGGCAGAGGCAGGAAGATCAAAAATTTGTCATCAGCCTGGGTTACATAGCAAAGTCCTATCTCAAAAGAGGAAAAGAAATTAATAAAATGTAGAATTATCTTGTCAAGTTGATTGAAAAGATACTTCCTTTTTTTTTTTTTGTCGGTCGTGGGGCTTGAACTCTGGGCCTGGGCGCTGTCCCTCAGCTCTTCAGCTCAAGGCGAGCGCTCTACCACTTGAGCTACAGCGCCACTTCCGGTTTTCTGGTGGTTTATTGGAGATAGGAGTCTCAAGGTCTCCTGCCCGGGCTGGCTTTGAACCGCGATCCTCAGATCTCAGCCTCCTGAGTAGCTAGGATTACAGGCGTGAGCCACCAGCGCCCGGCAAGATACTTCCTTTTATAGAAACATTTTCAGTGAAACAACAAATTCAAAGCCCTAAACGTTTTTGCTTTAGATGGCTTTCTTTCCTCAGAAAACAATTTTTTTTCCTTCCTTCCTTCCTTCCTTCCTTCCTTCCTTCCTTCCTTCCTTCCTTCCTTCCTTCCTTTTCTCTTTCTCCCTCCCTCCCTCCTTCCCTTACTTTCCTTTCCTTCCTTCTTTTTTTTTTTTGTTTGTTTTTAAATAGGATCTTGCCTATATAGTCCAGGCTAGCCTCAAATTCAAGGTTCTCCTGCCTCCACTTACTGAATATTGATGTTACAGGAATGTGCCACAATACCTAACCGCATAAAACAATTTTAATATTCTAATATTTAAAAATTTTTTTTTACTACTACTGAGTCTTCAACTGAGGCACTCTATCACTTGGTTTTATTGCTTATGGCTGGTGGTCTACTACTTGAGCCACATCTTTAGCCTGGCTTTTTCCTGATTGATTATAGATGGAGCCTTGGGCTTTTTTGCTCAGACTGGCATGGAATGGTGACCCTTCAGGTTTCAGCCTCCTGGGCAGTTAGGCTTATGAGGATGAACTGCTAGTATTCAGCAAAGATTTTATTCTTACTTGACCTACACATTTACTCCTAGAATTTTGGGATCTTTTTGATTGCAACTTGAAGATTTAATTTTTTTTCTTTCTTCTAACTGGTTAAGAATGTAGATTCTGGGTGGAAATGTGGTTTAGTGGTAGAGTGCTTGCCTAGCATTCATGAAACCCTGGGTTCAATTCCTCAGTACACATAAACAGAAAAAAAGACAGAAGTGGTAGTAGAGTGTTAGCCTTGAGCAAAAGCAGTTCAGGGACAGTGCCCAGGCTCCGAGTTCAAACCCCAGGGCTGGCAAAAGTAAAAAAAAAAAAAAAAAAACGAATGTAGATTCTTCACTTTTAAATTTTTAATCCTATCTACAGGTGACAGAATAAATAACTAGTAAAGAATGTATATGTATTTTAGTGATAGTTACAATTACTTGGCCTTCCATATTCATGTTCAGTCTGATCATCGGACATATTTATTCATTATACCTTAAACAGTATAACTTCTGTTTTCTTACAGATTTCAGAGACAGCTGTCTGAACCCTGCCACCCCTACCCTCCTCAGTCAGGAGTTCCTGGAGATAATCGCCCCAGTTACCACCGGCAAATGTCAGAGCCCATTGTCCCTGCAGCTCCCCCACCCCCTCAGGGATTCAAGCAGGAATACCACGACCCTCTATATGAACATGGGGTCACTGGGATGCCAGGTCCCCCCACTCATGGGTTCCAGTCACCAATGGGAATCAAGCAGGAGCCCCGGGATTACTGCGTTGATTCAGGTTGGCTCAATCATGTTCTCGTTTCTTTATTCTTACACTCATCTATCTCTCGGCTCAGTACTGACTTCTATCTGCGAGGCTTTGTGGAGTAATGTCAGATTTCCCTCCAGCCAACTGCATATGAACGTTGGTGGATAGCATGGGGTCCCATCCTCAATAATACCACCAGAAGTGAAAGGAAAAGTGCCCTTCAAGAATAAATGAATTAGTTACAGCAGACATATTTATGCATAGCTAAATACAAAACAAAAGAGAGAAGCAGCGCAGATGGAGGCGCAGTAGGCATCCAAATTGGTGTAAAGTACCACTGAATCTGGCCTTAAGAATGCTGGTATTCTATCTCTGGACACAAGGAATGCCATTCCTTTTGTCCTGTACTGTTCGGTGGCTTTGATTCTTAATATAACAGACTCCTTAAAACACCATGTATGATTGAAAAGAAAGAGCCCATGTGTAAGACATAGTTCTCTGCTGGAAATGAGTTGGTTCTGAGAAAGCACCTCATACTTTCTAGCTGTTACAGGGTACTGACTATATGGCTGAAAAGCCTTCCTTGTTTACTTCATGGAATTTACAGGTCTTTGCAGCCATTGCAGCTGGAGAAGTTCTTGTCTCTTGGAGGTGTAACGTGTAAGCACTTGTTTCGTTAGGGAGATGCCTCTTGCCTAGAAACTTCAGTACTTGAAGTAGGTAAAGCCATCTCAACTTTCCTCCAACTCATTCACTGCTTCATAATGTCTAGTCGAGGGCCAGGGTCATTAATTAAATAGGACAATTAAGAGAAAGGAGAATTGGAATTTGGCACCTTACACATTTAGAAACTATTCGGCCTTTTTTTTTTGGTTTCTTTTCACCTTTCAGAAATGACAAAAAACTTTTACTCTCCTTAGTGCTAAAGCAATCTGAGGGTAGCTGGTAGGTTTTCAACCTTTTTTTTAAAGGTGTTTTTCTTAAGATCATGGGGAAAGTTGGTATAGGATGAACTTGAATGGTTTTTGAGTTGGAATAGAAAAGAATTTGCTCAGGGCTTTCTCTGAAGTAACATAAATTGCTCTATTCTGGAAAAAGCTGGTCATGGGAGGGGTTGAGAAGGTAGGCTGAGGGAGATATAAATCTGTTTTATGACAGAAAAATTAGATGTGGCTGGTGTAGGTGCCTCACGCCTATAACTGAGATCTGAGGATCATAGTTCAAAGCCAGCCCAGGCAGGAAAGTCCATGACATTCTTATCTCCAATTAACTAAAACTAGAAAACTGGAAGTGGTGCTTTGGCTCAAAGGGGTAGAGTGCTTGCCTTGAGCTGAAGAGCGCAGGGACAGCGTCCAGAGTTCAAGCCCTACAACTGACGACCCCCCTCCCCCCCAAAAAAAATTGGAATTGTGCTTGCCAAATCCTTACCTCTGCTGGTTCTTGTCCTGGCTTCAGAATTTCAGATCTTTAAATCCCTTTGATCTGAAAATAGCCCCACCCCTTGTAGCAGAATTGGATGTAACCCTCATCTGTAAAAGAATAAGTTGAGAAAAATGTAAAGAAACATCTTTTTCCTCATTCTAATGCTGGGAAGCTAAGGATTTTTGAAAACCAAAATTTTCCCCCTACCATTAGCTCTGTCATGAGATTTGGTGTTCACTGATTAGTAAGATTTGTGAATCGTTAGAGTGAGGCATCATTTATTTCCTCCCAAGACTCTTGGTAAGGAATATCTTCTTTTCCAGGTTATAGTATTTCCACATAGCTTATAGGGTGTATCTCTTTCTCAGGACAAAGCCAGAAATGAGAAATGAGAAGGTTTAAGGGCTTTCCTACCAAGATGACTGTGCTGCTTCAGAAATTATTGATGAGAGTTCACCTGTGTTTCTCTTTCAGAAGTGCCTAACTGCCAGTCATCCTACATGAGAGGGGGCTATTTCTCCAGCAGCCATGAAGGTAAGGAATTTATTTGCTTGAGATTGGTTGATTGGTTGGTTGGTTGATTTTTGATGTTCAAATTTAAAATTACTGTCTGTACACTGAGATTTGAGATTATAGGATGTAGTTTCTTAACTCATAAATATGGAGCTAACTGATGGTAATTTTAGATGTTTTGCACATAGATTTTTGAGGCATATCTTAACTACTGTAGGAGCGGTTATCTTTTTTTTCTTTCTTTCTTTGCTTTCTTTCCTTTTCTTTCATTGCTAGTACTGGAGCTTGGACTCAGGGCCTCATACTTACTTGGTAGGCAAGCTCTCTACCAGTTGTATCATGTCCCCAAACTTTTTGCTTTTTTAGTTTGTTTTTCAGGTAGAGTCTTGCATTTTTGCCCAGTTACCTTGGTTTCATCCTCATCTTTCATAGCAGTGACTTGAACTTCCTGAGTTTTAGGACAATTTGAAGGAAAAAGGAACTCACTCACTTGGTTCCCACATTTCCAAATAATGTCAGCCTACACTAGAATTGGGAATTAGGTCAGTGAGGATGGTCTGATATGCTTTGAAGGAACACTTGACAAAACTATATTAAAGCTGAGTATAGTAGTACTTATCAGAAATCACAGCTCATGTCAAGTATGGACTACTTAGTAAAACCTTGTCTAAAGAAGACTAAACAGAGCTGGGTGCTGGTGGCTCGTGTCTGCAATTCTAGCTACTCAGGAGGTTGAGATCTGAAGATCAGGGTTCAATGCCAGTCTGGACAGGAAAGTCCTTGAGACTCTTATCTCTGATAAACCACTAGAAAACTGGAAGTGGCGCTGTGGCTCAAGTGGTAGAACACTAGCCTTGAGCTGAAGAGCTGAGGGACAGCGCCCAGGCCCAGAGTTCAAGCCCCACGGCCGACCAAAAAACAAGAAAACTAAACAGTATTTTATTTGTTTATTGGTACTAGACTTAACTTAGGGCCCCAAATTTTCTAGACAAGTGCTCTGTCACTTTCACCATACTCCCACCTCTTTTTTGTTTTAAATCATTGTTAACTAGAGTTTTGCCTTAGATTGCCCTCCTACCTATTCTTCCCAGTAGCTGGAACTATAGGCATACATCACCACACCTGACTTGGTTGAGGTGGGGGTTCTCAGTAATTTTTTGCCTGGGATTGACCTCAAACCCCCATCCTCCTGATCATTACCTCTTGAGTGTCTAGAATTACAAGGACATACCACCACACTTGGCCAAAACAAATAATTTTTAAACATGCTTCTAAGTTTTAGCTTGGGGCAGCTCTTCATTGTAATTATTATATAATGAATGGTTTCAACTTTTAAAATGGCAAATAAGTTTTGGGTATTCCATGATGGGAAGTTTTTGAGCTGCCCATGGGTGGAAGGAAGTAGGGAATGGAGCAAGTAGGTTGATGTGACTGTTTGGAGGTATTTTGTGGACAAAATGCTGTATAGGTGGACACAAAAGAAATGTTTGCTAATTGGATAAATTAAAAGTATCTCAAAGGAGAAACATGAGAATGGATATAAGGCAGTTTACCCACATGCCTGAATTAATTACATCTTCATGTTTATTTGTATGTAAAGATGATAGTTTTATATTAAGGCCATTATGTCGGTTCAAGTTCTTATGCCGAGTCCCTTTGAAACCCGCTAATTGAGCAAGTCTCAAAGATAATCTTACTCTAATTAGGAACAAGAGCAGTGGGCAGAGTTGAGTCTGTGATTTCACCTTCGTTAGCACTGACCTAATTGGGGTAAGGGTAATTTAGAACAAATAGATGCATAGTTGTTCTGCAGCATATGATTTCAAGGAAGTGGCCAGAACAGAGCTGGAATCTGTTTCCTAGAGGAGCTTGTTTTTGAGCTAGTTTTGTTTAGCCTATGAATTTCTTTTATTATGTTCTTACCATAAGCAATACATACTGATTATACAAAATTTAGAAAATGCCAACAGGCACAGATAAAAACGAAATATCACTGTTCAGAAATAGTCCATTCATTTGGTATATAGTTGCTGTAATGGTGTGTGTGTGTGTGTGTGTGTGTGTGTGTGTGTATGAGAATGAGAGAGAGAGAGAGAGAGAGTGTGTGTGTGTGTGTGTGTGTGTGTGTGTGTGTATTGGCCAGTCCTGGGGCTTGAACTCTGACCTGGGCGCTGTCCCTGAGCAACTTTTTGTTTAATGCTAGCTAGCACTCTACCACTTGAGCCACAGCACTACCTTTGACCTTTTCCGAGTAGTTTATTGGAGATAAGAGTTTCATGGACTTCCCTGCCCAGGCTGTCTTTGAACTGTGGCTCTCAGATCTCAGCCTCCTGAATAGCTAGGATTACAGGTGTGAGCCACTGGCACCCAGTTTCTGTGGTTTTTTTCCCCCTCCTTGTGCATATATAAATGTTTCATATCAATCATTTTAAGTTATTTTATAGGCTTTTTCTTTTAATAACAACAGCCATTCAATTTCCAATATGTTTCACATGTATTTTAAGTCATTTAGTCCTCCCACAAGCCATGTAAGATAGAAATTCCTGTTAGCTATCTAGTATAATTTGAGAACCAGAGATGTTGCTAAGCTTCAGAGATTTGCTAAGCTTCCTATGGCTCGGAAGGTAGAGCCAGAATTTGAAGCTTAGCTCTTAGGACCTGACAGTCCATAGTATCCTTCCCTCCACACTGTACACCGTGTAAGCCCTACTATCCAATACTCCTGTGCTTTCCTCCCTAGTGGCTGCACTGCATGGGTATGCATTTAACTGATTACTTCTTAATGAAAATGTAGATATTTCCAGGTGATTAGAAAATTAGAAATAAGCATTTATCTAATTAAATCCTTTTCAGATCCCCTTGATTAATTAATTCTCGAAGCTAAATTTCCGAAGTTTCTGAGTTAACAGGGTTATGACATTTTTGAAGCATTTACTACTATTTTTCTTTTACTTTGTGAGGAGGGTCCTGGTTTTTTTTCCACGATGTTTTGTGCATCATCGCAGATATTTAGAATTTGGGATCTCTTAAAAGAATTAACTTGATGAGGATTCAGAGAATAGGGGGCGGATAATTGAGCTGTCAGAACTGCAAAGAACATTTACTGAATGAATAGCTCCTGTGTGAATGAATGACAATAGCAAATCTGTTAGCTCATTTGACAAAAACAAGCCCTATTGAGGACTAAGATAAAACTTGTGAGATATAAAAGGCCTTAAGAGTTAGGCTAGGGCTTAAAAGTTACCTTTGTAGGCTATGTGGTAAGTTTTGGACTTCTCTTCTAAACACTGTAATCAGGAAGGCTTTTTTTTTTTTTTTCCCATTAGAATAGCTTCCCCAGATAAATATCTTACTTGCTGCCAAATGCATCTGTCCCTAAATATCTTAGGGCAGTGGAATTCCCCAAGCCTGTGGCATCAGCTTTTACCAGTAACTTGTTGGAAGTACAGATTCTCAGGACTCAGCTTAGCCCTATAAAATCGGAAGTTCCAAGGTGTAGAGCCTGGTACACCATTTTTCAAGCCCCGTAGATGTGATGCCACTGTACTGCAGAGATTCTCAACTCTGACTATTCCTTAGAATCACTTAGAGGACATTTGGCTTAAAATCAGGGTCTCAGTGCTCTCACTTGGATTTTTTACTCAAGACTTGAGCTCTACCAATTGAGCCACACTTCCACTTCCAGCTTTTTGCTGGTTAGAGATAAAGAGTCTCAGGGACTTTTCTGCCTGAGCTGACTTTGAACCATAATCTTTAGATCCATGCCTCCTGAGTAGCAAGGAGTATAGGAGTGAACCATCAGGACCTGTCTGAAAACCTTGCAATGTCCCGTTTTCACCTGGTGCGATCATCAGACATTCCAGGGTGAGAAGCTTTAAGACTGGAATCTGCCAGATGATGTTAAAAAGAGGAGTGTCCAGATCTGGACCACTGGCTATGATAGACGCGGCTGTGAATCTGTGATAGAAACAGCTGTGTGGGGCTCTCTTCCAGGTTCCTGGATGTTTCTACAGAAGCAATTGATGTCTGCAGCAGGCAAACAAGGAGGGAGTGGGAGAAGAGAGCGAGGAAAACGTTTTGCATAATTACAACATTTAGGAAGGAGCATGCTCTTAGGGAAATATTTTTAGTAAGGCATTGGGTTGCTTACTATACACAGACTCTCTGATGAGTTTGTGTGTATTTTTCTTCCACACTCTTTCCCTTCCCTTTCCCTGACCGCCCCCTCCCCACCCCCCACCCCACACACTGAAGACATTAGCTTGAAAGAGACCAGCATTTTTAATTGCTCTAAATTGCTCTAGCATGGATTTTCTATCCTCATAGAGCTTGACCACAGACACCCATGAAAACTGTTAGCAAAACAAATGTTTCTGATTGGCATCTGTGATTGCCAAGATAGTCTTTGCTTGTCTGGTGTTCACCTGGAGTCCTTGCGTAATGTTTTGAATCCTTTATTTCTACTTCATCCCACAAGCAGGTTCTTCCTTCCTGCTGCTCTTATTTGAGTGGGTGATGAGGTGGTTGTGGCCACAACTGAAATAACTGCTGGGTGTGAATTCAACTGACTAAAATTCACTTAAACCAGGAGCATCTTCCAGATGTTTTAGAGGACCACATGTGGTGTGAACTAGAAATCACAAAGTGCACCCAAACCCTTACTTCCCATAGCAGGCCTTCATTTGATTAGTTTTGAAAACCCAAACTGAGGATTTAATCACAATTCATGAGGCTGTGAGTGTTTTATCCTTACCTCAGGCAGAAAAAGCTCAAAAGAGAAAGATGGCAAGTTTGACAGGTGTGTACACTTTGAAGTAGTTTCCTTCCTACTACTTTATCATGGCTGGAATGTCTTATTGAGCATATGAGTTATATCTACTGTTGTTAAAATCAGTGCCTAGCACCAACTTTGAAAACAAATTTATCAGGAGTTACTGAATCCTTTACTTAAGTTAGCATTTGTTGTTTATGCCAATCAGTATTGAGGCTGGAACTTGGTCCCATAGACTTTCTTGCCAGACTGGGGTTTGAACACAATACTCAGGTCTCAGCCTCTTGAGTTGTAGGGTTATAGGTGTGAGTCACTTGTACCTGGCAACATTGTTTTGTTTAAAATTTATTTATTTATTTTGTTGGTGGTATGGCCTGAACTCTGGGCCTGGGTGCTGTCCCTGAGCTCTTCAGCTCAAGGCTGCATGCTCTACCACTTGAGCCACAGCACCAGTTTTCTGGTGGTTAATTGGAGATAAGAGTCTCAGGACCTTTCCTGCCCAGGCTGGCTTTTGAACTACAATCCTCAGATCTCATCCTCCTGAGTAGCTAGAATTATACGCGTGAGCCACTGGTGCCTGTCTTGTTTAAATATATATTTTAAAGTAGAAATTACAGAATCTCATATATTCAAATGTGTCTGGCAGACTTACTGAACTCAAGGACAGTGTATGATCTTTATCCTCAAGGAATTCAGATTCCATGACAGGATGTGCAATAGAGCTTCTCACATTCCAGTTAATTGCTTAGTAGTCCTTATCACAACAGCAATTACTGTGGGTTTTGGTTTTTTTTTAAGCTATCATTTATTAGGCACTCAAGTACCAGGAGCTATTCTTGGCACTGAGTTGTAAAGATACAGCAATTGATCAATGGAACACACCATATAATTAACTCATTAAATTCTGGTGACAACATTATGAATAGGAATTATTCTCTCCTTAGTCCTCCCTGATGAGGAAACTGGAGTATAGAGGAATAAAGTTAGTGGCTCATGCCTATAATCCTAGCTACTCAAGTGGCTGAGAGCTGAGGATTAGTTGGAACAGCCCTTCCCAGGGCTCACTGTGATACTCTTATCTGCAGTTTACCACCAGAAAACTAGAAGTGGCACTGAAGTTCAAAGTGGTAGAGTATGAGCTTCAAGCAAAAAAGCTCAGGGACAGTACCCAGGCACTTAGCACCCACATCAACAAAAATCACAGTTGATTAAGGTCCATCTGGCTACCCTCTTTAACTTCCACACTACATTTGTCTCCTTTCTTTTCCCCTTTATTTTTATTTTTTAATTAATTAATTAATTAATTTTTTTTTTTGGTCGGTTGTGGGGCTTGAACTCTGGGCCTGGGCGCTGTCCCTCAGCTCTTCAGCTCAAGGCTAGCCCTCTATCACTTGAGCTACAGCGCCACTTTCCCCTTTATTGTGTGACTCCTTTAGTGGAGAACAACTAAATCTATATTCTCCTAACTACCTGCTCTTCTAGCACAGTACCTCATCTCAAAAAGTGAATTCAATAATAAACAAATGCCAGTGAAGTAGACCTCCTTTGATAGAGTTGAGTAGCAGAGAAAGATGAGTAATACAAACTTCAAAACAATCTCCATATCCTCCAGGCAGGGCTGGTTTTTTTCAGGCCTCTTAAAATAATGCTGGTCCTGCTGAGCGTCTAGTAGATCTGGGCTGGTTGTAAAGAAAATTGCAGGATCATATCTTAACTTTTTTACTCGGGGGATTTTTTGATTCACTGGAAATTCTTTTTAGTTTCTAAGGAAACTAACCCCTTCTAGGTGTCAGTACACAAATAATTTACTCTACAGCCAGGTGAATCAACTGGGTCCCAAACCCAAGGAGGCCTCATTTATTAGACAGTAGCTTGTCGGGCCTCTTCCTGAGAAGTAATCTGAGAAAGAGCTGTCCATGCAGCTCTCATCCTCTGAGACAGGCTGGGCTGCGGGGAGCTTGGGATCCTAGCCAGAGGGTCTGTTGTCCGCTTTGGTTTGCACACCAGTCAGGGCCTGGGCACTGTCCCTAAGCTTCTTTTACTCAAGGCTAGCACTCTATACCATTTGAGTCACATCTTTACTTCCAGCTCTTTTGGTAGTTAATTGGAGATAAGCATTTCATGGACTTTCCTGCCTTTGGGCTGGCTTTGAGCTGTGATTCTCAGATTTCAGCCTCTTGAGCAGCTAGGATTACAAGCATGACTGACTCAGGCGGGTAGTGTTCTTTACCTTCCATGCTCTTTTATAATCAAAGGAGGTATGTAGGTGACCTGGACAAGTTTGTAGAGAAGGTTGAAATCAAAGAAAATGGTAGATTATGTGCAGATCAAATAAATCATCCATCTAGGTCAACTGAAATAGACAAGATGTCTTTTCAGATGTAAGGCTTAGTCACAACCACACTGACTTACGCAGACGGCATAAGCAAGATGTGAAGGAACCTACGGGTGATTCAGTGCTTCCTGCAGCTCTGGCTCTGATAGCAGGAATTGATGGTATCCTAAGCAAAACACGGTGATTGTATCAGAACCTGATGTACAAGTCCTTTGGAAGTCCCTGAAAATACTGCTGTAGGTCTTAGAACTTGAAATGATGGAATTCTGCTTCAGCCTTGCAGTCCATAGTTTTACAACAATACAGAGGATCTGGTAAGCATTGTGATCTTTCTCTTTAAACTCCTTCAGGTTTTTCATATGAAAAAGATCCCCGGTTATACTTCGATGACACCTGTGTGGTACCTGAGAGACTGGAAGGTAAGATGTTCATCCAAGGTTTGATACTCAGTGATGTCAGAACTCCACTGTCTCACCAAGCTAAATCACACAGCAGTAACACCTCCTTCTTCCCTCCCCAACTGTAGACTAAGTTAATGGACATGTCTTCGTTTCCAAACAGGCAAAGTCAAGCAGGAGCCTACTCTGTATCGGGAGGGCCCCCCATATCAGCGACGGGGCTCCCTCCAGCTGTGGCAGTTCCTCGTCACCCTTCTTGATGATCCAGCCAATGCCCACTTCATTGCCTGGACGGGTCGAGGCATGGAGTTCAAGCTGATAGAACCAGAGGAGGTAGGCAGAGGAAGCTGCACTCTGTGGATTTTTTATTTGTCTATGTGGTTTGTTGTTAGATGTTTATGTTGTAAGCCTTTGTCCTACATTAAATACACGCTTCCTTGTCACTCTCATTCTGGCCTGGCCAATAGGATAATTTTTAATATAAGGACTGACAGAGGGCTTCATTATAGAACACATTAAAAAGTAGGGCTGGGGAAAGGGTAGCTCAGTGGTAGAGCACTTGCTGATACCATGTGCAAAAAGCATCTGATCTCTAACACCAAAAGAAAGATAAAGAAAGGAGGGAAAATAGGAATAAATAAAGGGCAAGCCACTAAAAAAATAAGTTTGGTCTGATGAAAGTGGGTAGTGAGAGACCATGCAAACTTACATCTGAATACTGTTCTCCTCTTGGGAAGTCTTTTTCAAGTATTCATTGACACAAAAGGAACACATTGGTGTGACATTTTGATAATGCAACTACTCTTCTGCTACTTCACGTGGCTCTGACCAAGAGAAATAAAACCATTAAAGTTGGTTAATCTTGCTGGGCTCGGGTGGCTCATACTTGTAATCCTAGCCACTTAGGAGGCTGAGATCTGAGGCTCACAGTTCAAAACCAGCCTGGGCAGAAAAATGCATGAGACTCTTTATCTCCAATTTACCACTAGAAATCCAAAAGTGGTGCTGTGGGTCAAAGTGGTAGAGCACTAGCTTTCAGCAAAAAACAGCTCAGGGACAGTACCTAGGCCCTGAGTTCAAATGCCCTATGGCGGACCAAAAAAAAAAAAACAAAAACAAAAAGTTAATCTTAAGAACTTAATATTCGTTGAAGCATCTTATGTACCATCAGTATTTGAAGAAGTGATACAAACTCCATTATTCTGTTGATAGGAAAATAAATATTGTTACTATATTTTTGTGCTCAAAACTATTGACAGACCCAGGATAGAATCAGTGTTATTTCTTCACCTGAAAAGACATAACAAAGAACATTTTTCCTGAAAATCAAGTTATGCTTTCAGTATAACATATTTCAAAAAAGAATGCTTCTAGTTTCTATTTGGTTGAGACTATATAAAAATATCTACAAGGGAGTAGTAGCTAGGATCTGTTTGGTCAAGACTATAAAAAAAATCCACAAGTGAGTAGCTAGGAGGCTGAGATCTGAGGATCATGGTTCTAAGTCATCCTGGGCAGACAAATTCAACTAACCAGTACAAAACCAGATGTGGAAGTGTGGCTCAAGTGGTAGAGTGCCTTTAGTAAAAAAGCCAAGAGAGAGAACATGATGGATGCTATGAGCTCAAGCCCTAATATCATCACAAAGGGAAAAAAAAAGTTCTATAAGAGGAAAGGAAATAACTGTTTCCCCAAATTGACATATACTTCTTTCAGAAGCCTGTACTTAGGCATGTGTGTGCTAAACTAACAGATCAAAAGATACCCAAATACCTTGGGATTGAGTGTGTGTAATTGAAATGGAAACTATGCTCTTAGAAAGCATTGGAGCACAGGCGGCAATTTTAGATGTTCATTTACCTTCAGGGATCACCACAGGGCCATGTCAGCAGCAGGGGTAACAGCAGGAGGTAACAGTTGGGTACTTGCTTTGAAAGAAGGAGGAAATGTTCTGAGAGTGGAAAGGAGAAAGTATAGATTGGAAACCTGTGAAGAATCTTGTAATGGTAGGAGAATAAGGCAGACTATTAAAAATAGTAAAAAGAACAACAAAGGAAGATTGTATGAATGATTTTCCCAGTCAGGTAAATGGATCCACGGCAACATCAAGTACTATAGGCAACCTCTAATTAAGCTCAGTTTACCTTCAAAGCCAGTGTTTGGTGCCACTGTTTTCCTAAGGTTTTCTTTCTGGCTAAGTTGTATAGATGAGGAGCCTTGTCTTCAGCTTCTAGCCCCACTGGAGAGCTGCCCACCCCATGTAGATCCATTCTTCACCTCTCTGCTTTCCTAATCATGTAGCCTGGTTTATGTGAGGCTGGAAGAAAGCATGTCGCCTCAACTCTGTGAGGCTTTTTTGAAAGTAAGTCCTTCGTGTGGGTAGCCCTTATTGATTTATCTTGTTTCACAAACTGGAGCTTTTATTACTTTATTGCCACTGCCTCGGGCCTGAGCACAGGCTGTCCAGCTGCAGGTAAACCTGGTTATGACCCTTTGTAAGACTGTTATTGAATCTTCTGCTGTCCTATGAGTGGTAAAGAAAATGATGAACAGATGGCAGAGGGCCCCTATTTCCTTACTTTAATAAAGGAACTAATATTAACCCAGAATGCTCATAAATGCCAAGCAGTCAAGTCACGTGTATGAGGCCACTGATGGCCTTGAGCCTCTCCATGTTTACGGGCAAGTGTTACTTTTCACCCTACTTTGAGGTCCCTAAAACTGCTAGGCTCCTCTTGTTCTGCTTTGTTAAACCAGAGCTGCTGGGTTTCTTGTGTGTGCTTCTGCCTCAGGACCCATAACATTTGTTCACATCTCCCCCTCCACTCCTTGTGTAACTGTGAAGGCCCTGTTCTTGTGAATGTCAGGAAGATGCCAACTCCTGGAAAAAGCTGTAAGAAGTTGTCATGGGGGGGAGCTTGAAGGGTGAAGCGGAGGAGGAAGCTGTTGGGGACGTAATTGTAGGCAGCTGTGTGGCTGAGTAGTGCACTCTGGGTAATTATCCATAATATCCATTACACTGTGCATGGAAATTGTGGTTTTAGAACTGCGTTTTGGCAGGCCCCCTAATCAAATGTCTTTTGATAGTCATCCAGCTTAGCACCCTCTCAATTATGACTGACTCGGCTTTAATCTGGAGCCATTTTAACTGTGAATCTGCATTAATGAATATTTTGGGGGTAGGGTTGTTTGTTGAACATGTGGCAGATCATTGATGCCATGGGAGGTTTTCAAGGATGGGCTGCTAGAGAGAGCTGATCCTTGGGCTGTGGCTGCTCTCTGTTTAAAAGGGAGGAGGAAATAGGTGGATTTTTTTGGGTTAACTCCTTCAGCTTTAGCCTCCACGATGTGTGCTCTCTGAGTAACGAATGGGCAAATTGAAAGAGGAGCTGGCAGTTTTTTCTACCCTGCTCTGCACAGCACTGAAGAGGGGCAGCTCTCTAGTCTCCAGCTGCTCTGGAGCTGTGCCGCATCCTGCATTACTATAGAGGGAGCCGCTTGGTGAGGGCTTACTAAATCACAGGGCTCAGACCCTGGAGGATGAGTCAGTAACTATGGCTACCAGAGCTGCTTTGAAATCTGTACATATACAAACCTCTCCAGTAAACCATTGCATATGCAAATGACAGCAAAGAGGTCATCCTTGAAAGTTAAAGAATATTCAAAATTGTTTTCCCACCACTCACTAAATGATGAGAATGTTTTTTTTTGGGGGGGGGGATTTTGTCTTGTGATTTGTGGTGGGTAGTAGTTAAAAATTAGTTTGGGGGGGAGGTCATTTCTCTTGAACAGTGCAGAATTAAGTTAGCGTTAGTGATTTAGCAGATTTCCCTTTTTACTACAATTTCCTCTAGTTTAAACTATTTCTCCAGGCTGTGGCTTGGTGGTAGAGTGCTTGCCTAGCATGCATGAAGCCCTGGGTTCAATTCCTCAAGTACCACATAAATAGAAAAAGCTGGAAGTGGCACTGTGGGTCAGTGGTAGAGTGCTAGCCTTGCGCAAAAAGAAGTTTAGGGACAGTGCACAGGCCCTAAGTTCAAGCCCCATGACTTGCTCCTCCCCCCCCCAAAAAGTTTCTCTAACAAGGATATATTTTTTGGTTCATTTTGTTTTGGGGGGGGCAGTTGAATAGTTGCAATATGAAGAAAAAGAAGACTTAGAAGCAGGCATGTGCCAGATGGGGATGGAGCAAACAAATAGAAATAGAACTTTCCCTGGGTTTTTTGCAAGACAGAGTAGCCTCTGGGGCATACTGGATTCTTCCAATATTTAGGACAGATGGGTCCTTATCAGATCATCTCTGGTATTATTAAAGAGTAGCTTAGCATTCTGAATTTAGAAAATATTTTTTATTCTGCCCACGTATTTTAAGGGAAAACTTCATGAAATGTTTTTTTCTCTTTCTTATTCTATGTTGAACTTTTAGCTTAAAAAAAAATCAAGATAGAGACAGGAGGGAAAAACTAGGAGAGAGTGAGGGAAAGGGTGACATTGTCCAAAAAGAAATGTACTTTTGGCAGGTGTTGTAATCCTAACTACTCAGGAGGTTGAGATCTGAGGATTGTGGCTCAAAGCCAGCCCAGGCAAGCAAGTCCATAAAACCCTTATCCACAGTAAACTACAAAAAGGGCCAGAACTAGAGCTGTGGCTCAAGTGATCGAGCACTCACCTTGAGCATATAAAAGCTCAGGGATAGCACCCATACCCAGAGTTCAAGCCCCAAAACAAAAACAAAAACCACAAACAAAACAAACCCGAAACCCAAAAACAGAAATTCACTCTTTAGCTGACTTATGTAACTATAGCCCCTCTGTACATCGCCTTTCTAATAACAGTAAACAAATTTTTTTTTAAAAATCAAGGGAGTTGAGTGTTGTGATACACACCTGCATATAATTACAATAATTGGGGCACTGCGGCAGGGGCATTGTAAGTTTGAGGCCAGCCAGGATTATATAGTGAGACCTTGTCTCCAAAACAAAAAGGTTTTGGAAAAGTCCAAAAATGTTCAGAATATGAGTCTCAGTTTGCAGACATTTAAAGACAGAAAACCCACGTTTCCAGGGTTGTTATTCTGCTTCCTTGTAGACACCTTCATAAGTAGGATTTTGACAATTGAGATGCTTGAGAACAAATTTTTTGGCTACCCCGATAATGGGGTAGAGTCTATGAGAAAGGTTCCTTGTTGTATGGCTGTAAGGCTTCTTTGCCCAAAGCTCCAATTGTATCTCCCCATCACTACCTTGCGTGGACGGAGTTGGATATAATGTACTTCAGAACTGTATGGGAAGCCCTGTTAATTTTTCATTAAGTGGATAATGGTGCTATGTGCTTTAAGGTCCATTCTACAAATCTGCTGGGAGCAGGGGATTTGGATGGCAGTAGGCTGAAATGATCTGATTGCCCCTTAGTCTATGAGCTGCAATAAGTAAACATCTCCCAGCCCCTCTACAATCTTATTAGAATTGAACTTTTGCTCCGCTGGCCCATTAGCAACTCACTAGTGTGTTTCTAATGTTTCAGGAATGACCGTTCTAATTATTCCTTATTGACTGCTACAGAAACCATAGCACTTAATGGCAACATGTTAATGGTCCATGAGTATTGGTCAATAATTCATATGTGGAGAAATAGTTGGGAGCCCGAGTCCTCTGGGATAGTAGCCAAGCCCTCTACTATCTTAAAGTACTTAGGTTCTTCTACCCTCCTGTTATATATACCTCCTAACATGTGACTGAATCATCACCTTTGTTCAGTGTTGGGTCTTGAGGGAATTAAATGTTTTCCCTTCCAGATAAGAGAAATGGATCATTGGCCAAAAGTAGTCCGAATACAACATTTGGCATTCCTGGGATGGAAAAAAACTGCAGGCCTAGGGAATGTGTTTCTATTATTCTTAGCTTCCTTGTCTCTTCAGGTTGCTCGACGTTGGGGTATCCAGAAAAATCGGCCAGCCATGAACTATGACAAGCTGAGCCGTTCTCTACGCTACTACTATGAAAAGGGCATCATGCAGAAGGTAAGTATGTATGAGAGACCAAAAAAATGTCCAAGGCTTCTGCAACAAGACCCTTTATAATAGGAGAAAATATTAGCCTTATAAGCAATTCTGTGGTCAGAAGAAAGCTGGAAAAACAGGACAAGAATGAAATGGAATAGTAAGAACACGTTTTAATGTTCTTGGATGCAAACCAGAAGTTGCATGTGGAAGAAACACTAGGAAAACTGACCTCTTCTGTTTTACCTAAACTGTATCTAGTTACAGAAATATCCAAACCTGGGGGAGGGGGGAGGCTGGGAAGGGATGGGAAGGGTAAACAAAGGAGGAGGCTGCAATGCTTGGTAAGAAATGTACGCATTATCCTGCCCATGCAATT